CGGCGAGAAGAAGAAGCGTGCTTCTGGCGGTTAGGGTTATTGAAGGGAAGGTAAATATTGATATCACCCAGGATCGAGTCTTGTGTTCAGTTACGGTTAAGTTTTCAGTTAGAGTATGAAAAAGTTCAATAGAGCACGAAATTCATTGGGGTCTTTAACATTTGCTCTGGTTTGTCATCTTTTACAGCAGCTCACAGAAAACTTGGCCATCCGTCTATTAATTGACGCTGGCGACTGCGCAAATCATGTGAACCACATGAAACATAGGGAGAATCACAGCCTTATCTGATTTCTTTTGCCTTGTTTTCCTGAAGTTGCGTTTATGGAACCGCCAAACAATTGTGTGTTACTATCAAGAAAAACATCATTAGATTTTCAGTCATTGATGAAACCTGCTAAATGTTGCGGATGTACGCTGTAGTAAATCATTTGCTCCAGTCGCAAAGCTATCGGCTAGCAAATGCACGTAAGTGAGCTGCTGAGTCATTCGCCGCGCGACGCGCCGCGTGCCCTGGACGATTCTGTTGCACGTCTCCCGTCAGTCACTATCCTGACCCTGAAGTTTCTTGTCAGCACTAAGAACCAAGTCGTGTTTGCACTCGAGACCCTGGATTACCTCTCCAATCTAACTACCAGTCTGTAGCGAACTGAGTCTGAACTGTAGTTGCACCAAACTGGCGCCAAATGGTATCGTCACGAAAAATGTCATGTCAGTAATCAGATCACTTTTTATGTCTAGTGATAGTGACGTTTTTCGCTTTTCCAATCACTAGGCTTGCAGTGAAATTTCATGCGATAAGTTGGGAAAGCACTTGTAAAAGAATATTCTGGTCTGGAGTAAGTTAAAAGTAATTTGGCTCTTTATAACCAGGTAATTATTAGGAAAAAAAGCATAAGTGAAATGTGCACGAGATTTCCTTCCAGTGCAGTATGTGCAAGCGTTTCCGCACAATTCTTGTAGTGGTACTGGCGTAAAGTTCGGTGTTATACGTACGTCCACTGCGGAGTTACAATTAACTGGGCGCCGCTTTGGGTTACGGTAGCGTGGCGGTAATACTGAAGTTAGCTTCTTGTCCGCAGCGAAACGCGCACTCAGTGGTAGAGATCACCCAGAAGTGAGAGGGCGCAGACAACGAGCGCGTTGTTATGGTTGAACGTGTGAGTGGCGTGCAGGAACGATTACTGCGTGGAGTATGGATACGGCTCTTGGCCCTCACCACCCTCCAGCCCCGTTCCCGTGCACTTTTGACCGAAGAGACTGCCCGCTACAGTACTGCAGCTGCGGACCTACCACGAATGGCTACGACCAGAATCCACTGAGGTGGATGTACAGTTTGATTCTAAGAGAGAACAACAGACCAAAGTCCCTCACTTTTCGGAGGCAGGTTCACGTACTTCTGATCTTCCTTATCCAAACACAACAATCTGAATGCGTTCTGCGCATCCCATTTAACAGCCGCATCTGACTTTTTCCATCCACTTCTCACCACCTGAGAATCTTTGATGAAGCAAGTTTCCAGCTAGTAAAGTTTTGAAGTTACAAACCTCCTCAAGACCACTTTCTGACATGTTGCCAAGGCAAACAATTGCCACAATAAATTGAATAGTGAAAACGCATGACAGTATGATCATGTACTGAATAGGACAGAAATTTTGTGGAATTAACGACAAAAAAACTCTGCTGACAAACATAGAAACCGGGGAAACTTTTGTAGTAATTACCACGAATGCTCTGCACTTTGAAGAAGGTCATTCATACTTCAAAGCCCTACCAAAGGCAGAGTGTGGGCTGATGATCTCAAAAATGAGTTTGTTGACGCTAAGCCCGCTCGTGGAGAGAGGAAACAAAAGGAAGGTGCTCTAAAAGCTACTGGCAGTGGTTCACCTGGAGTGCGAGTCTACAACGAAAGAAAAGAGTGCCAGGATGAGATCAGAAGCAATGAGGCGAGAGAGAGCACGCAGAGGAGCTGGACAACAGGCAGCAACGCACCCACTAATCGCGTACAGGGAGGAGACTGCTGTCGCAGGAAGGCCTAGGCTCGCTAAATGAACCCCTAACGTCTTCACTTACAACCTTAAGTAGCGATATTACAACCCAGTTTACCGCGGAATGAGCCTTCAACCCTCATCGTGCGTTTACTTACGAAAAACAGAGCAGCTTGATGTTGTTTCTTTGTTCCATAGATTCCGAGAAGAGCAACCAATATGAGAAATACACCGGCAGCAATGATACCACCTGAACGAGATTACTGCCACGGAAAATCGTCGAAAAGACTGAGAAAAAAACTTTTGCTCACCCACAACCGAGACAGAAGTAACTATAGAGGCGGATTTAGCGTAGGCACTTGTGATAATAAGCAATCCACCTATCGCCTAAACATACAAAGGTGAACGCTCAAGTGCTGCAGCACATCAGTGGTATCAAAGAAGGACCCGATCTGTTCCAGCCCATCCAGGTAACTTTCTTGGAGAAAGTGCAAATGGAAAGAGTGTCCCAAACGTTACGACCTTCCTCCTTTATTGAGGCTGCATTCGTACTTCACAACACCTACAATTTTCAATCGCGTCCGTGCTTGCGCTTCACCGCTAAAAGCAGTAGCGTCAATCGATACCTACTTATTACCAATTTCCCGTCTACAGCACTACGCACGCGCTAACACTTGCAGTGATAGCACCGCGCCATCGCGAACTGTGAACACAGCCTTATAATCTTTTACGCCAAAATTATCAAAGCTAAAGCGGTCAAAGAAAAATTAGCCCTGGTCTTGGATTCCTTGGTGTTCTGCACCAAAATGTCCCTGGTTATGAAAGTGCCGTCTAAGGCATTGTTCACAGTTTGCGACCCTGACGAAACGGGATCGGAGAATCGCCAACCGCTAGTTTCGCCGAACCGCCGCGGTTCGGCGGTTGGGCGAAAAGCAATAGATGCGTATCGATTTCGCTGGCGAAAAACGCCACGGCGATCGAGCTAGCGTTTCGTCGAAGGCGAAAAACGTCGCGGTTTGGCGAAACGCCCGTCGATTCGTATCAAAACCCTTTCGCCCAACCGCCAGTCGATACGTATCGAAAGCTTTTCGCCGAACCGCCGCGTTCCAGAGAAACGCTGGACCGCAGACTGTGAACAATGCCTAACTGGACAGCTCAAAAAGGACGCTCTCGCTGAAGAAAACAAACAAGCGAAAACTGAAAATATGAAAAAACCTTACCACATAAAAGAAATTTAGTGAAAGCAAAGCTTTCTGTGTCAAGTCGTAACCGCAATTCAGCGGAAACAGCATTGAGATGTCTGAACGAAAACATAGAAAGAAACACATGGATACACATAAGCGTGGGCGATGGTCGATTCCATTTGGAGGGGGGTGGGGCTGAATTGCACTTCAGCTACTTCTCATCGTCATATCCATTGCTTTACAATAGGTGACAGATAAGCAGTTTCTCCAAACGCTGACTGGTGCCACATCGTGGTTTCACACGATTTTAGAAATC